GGAGAGGGTCTCTAATGTTCGGGCAAGTGCTGCCTGTTGACTGATCTGAAGCAATGTGCGAACATTGAGGCATGCCAATCCGAAGGAGGATCGAGGGCTCCAAATGGAAGCCGATGGACTGGAATTGGCCGCTAGCTTGGACATGGGCCTGTTGACAGGGCAGGAATGACGCTCTGCGTTCACATGTAAGTTGAAACTAAAAGACAAGCGACTATTGAAGCAAGGTGGGGGAGGGCCGAGAATTTGGGGGTTGAAAACAGGGGGGATAAAAGTGAAGCTGGAACGGGACGATAAGGGTGAGAAAGCGCAAGAGGGGGAATAAGAAGACGGGAAGGCTTGAGCAGTAGCATCCAAACCCCTATCCACTCTGCCCGATGCAGCAGATAGGGCACCGTTGATTGTCCTCTGCGACGGCCAGAGCATCAGAAATTTGTTTGAAGTGAGATTCATAGTATTGCGTGGGCAGGATACTGTCAGGTTGCCCAGGCCTAGACAGGAGAACGATTCGGGTTCTCACCAAAGCCTTTGGTTCGAAAAACTTACCGCAAGGCAGCGGGTTTTGGCGCTGGACTACAGAGCCCGTTTTATGAAATGAGGAGCCACCCCCATTCCAACCCCAAAACCTGGAGGACCAGGAGGCTGAGTTTGTCTGGCCTCTAACCACTGACCAATCTGGTGTGATTGACTCTGAAGGTGCAAAAATGCACCACCCAGCATAGCTCAATGGATCACTGAGGCACACAAACCATCGCACCACGGTAAGGTGCAGCCTCATTACGATGGCCATCTGGCGTAACGTTGAGCGAATTTCCGATACGGTGATGGGTTCAGCAAAATCGAGGTTGGGCAGGCTTTTTACGCTTGAGAACTGATGGTCAGGCCCTGATGGCTGTGCGAATAACCCCATCCAATATTTGATGTAACTGGGGATTCGTTCCTCTTCATGTAGATAGGTGGTCTACCATCTACCATTGAGCACCGTTGCAGTCGCGTCCCGACGCTTAAGATGGGAAAGACTTTATCTGCCCGAACTGCAGGCTCCGTCATTGTTTACTTTTCTGAACGTTTTTGGAGTGGATTGTTTCCAAGTATGGGGATACTACGTCTGGCAACGGTTGTCCACTCGTGTACAGCATTTGTGGCGAGAACGTTGGGTGAGAGTATCATCTAACAGATTTCAAAGCTCAGCAACTCGTGCTTTGGTTAAACGTGCACATAGCGGGTGTAGGCGGCTAGCTTCTCGGATTAGGTGTTGGATCGTTGTGGATCGTTCATATGCGGATATGTATGCGTTATCCATGGCAGGAGTGGTATATTCCCATTGAATGAGTGAAGTTAGTACAATTCGAGTAGGTGTGAAGCGCGTGGCTCTCGTCCTGAGTCGTGATCGGGTAACCTTGTGTCCGACGCGTCCAAATCAACTTTGTGACGCTGACGGGAATAGATTGTTATGTTCTCAGAAGATGATGATAACGATGGGTTGACTCGTTTGGTCAGGGGCGCCTTTTCCCGCGGCTGTGAAGTCACGTGGATCAGGGATTGGTATGCTCTGAGTTGGAATAGGAGCTCTTATCTCCTTTAGTTTCCAGCGTAGAATTCTCGGGCGTTTTCTGATACTCTCCTCAGATCGAGCAGGGAAGTACTTTTGCAAATGATTGGCCAATTCATTGAGCGAACCAATATTCCACCTGAGTTCATTTGCGTTATTAGGCAAGGTCGTGTCCTCCATGACCGCCCCGTTAAACGGATGAGTATGCAAACGCCTCAGGCATCCTGCATTGTATTTCATGAGATTGGCGAATTCTACGATATTGTGTAATACCTCGTTGTGCCGTAGATGTTCTTCTGCCTATGCGACATTTATTAATGGGATCGTCATAGCTTACTGTTTCTGCCATGAATCCAGTCGGATTTCGCTTGCATGCTCCGAGGTGTCGTTTGAGTCCTCATGTAGCAAAGGAACTTCATAGACAAAGGTCACCTATGGATTCCTTGTGAAGCAAGCGACACTGCGCCCTGTCTGGTGATTCACTATTGGCGGACATTGGACGTTCCGAAGATGATTGTTGTTGATGTGAAAACTGGGTCTGTCAGTGTCATTGAGTTTCGGGTCCATTGGATAGTAGACGAATGCTGAAGTTGGGTGGATGGTTCTGGCGGTAATGCCGTGTCTTATGTAGTTTGTGGCAGTTGGTGCTGTGGGGCGGGGGTTACTGAGCGTGCTGCCCTGAAAGCTGAAATTGGAAACGGCAGTGGCCGATCCGTTCGCTTGCTGTGTATCAGAATCAGCAGGTTCGCTGTCCTGGCGATTCGGAATAGAAGGCATAGGGAGACCTGCGCCGCAGGCCGTTCATATGCCCCAATCCGCGGCTGGGGTGTGGTGGCGATCGGAAAATGTTTGATTTGTTTCCAGCCTATGGAGGGTGCTACATATCGGGAGTGGTTCCTCGACGTTCGGCGAATTCTGAGCAGGCCAGTGTAGTCGTGGTTCTTACCGAGGCGATGGTACGTGGACTGTCATATATCGGTCTAGCATCTGCAGACGTTTGCGATATAATGCGACTTCGGTAGACTGGGTACATTGAGTAGATTGGTTCTTCCGTTTGGGCGCTGTTGTATAAGTCGGACGGCACTTCAAAAAAGTGTTAGATGATAATGATTCATATGTCAGTTTTTTCAACTAAATTGCTACTACTGGGTTGCTTGTCATTAGTATTAGACCGGCACTCAAACCCCTGATTACAAGCTGTGCAGTGAGTAGGCACGTTCCAATGGGTAGGTGGGATGCGTGCTTCTGTGAGAAAAGATTTCACACAGTAACACTCAGTCATTTTCTAGACGCGGATGTGTGAGGGCACATTGTACGATTCACATAAACGCTGAGGGACGGGACAAAAATGCACACACACATACACAGACGGAGGACATGCTGCATCACCAAACTTCTGTGGAGCCGTTAAATGCAATGATTGTGGGTCAGGAGTATTTCGCACAGTAAAATCCCGCCGCCTGCACATTATTCTATGAAAAACCGATTGTTCGGCGACCATTACACACAGTATGCCTTCATATGGTCAAGTAATGGAGGTTAAACTAATAATAACTGTTATGGCCCAAATGGTCGACATAAAACTTATATATGTGGTCAACATACAGAGGTCCAGTTTCACGAGCTTTACTTGAGCAGTGGTCAACTTCGGAAGTTCCACTGTATATATATATATATATATATATATATATATATATATATATATATATATATATATACCTTGCTCAGCAGTTTTGAGTCGATACGTTTTCGCAGCTTACCGATTTTTCCCGTTACAGTCGCCTCCGACGAATTCGTATTTTTATCTCTTTCGCCTCAAGCATCAAGATATTCATTTCATTCTCTAGCAGCGTAGCTGGTATGCAACCGTCCTTTTTGATGACTCCAACAACAAACGAATGGTGCTGTCATTGCTCCCTTGACCTCGTCTAAACTGTGTCGGATCCTGGTGTTTGGCACCTATGGACTAGAAATTCGTTAATGAAACCAATACAATCGGTTGTGGGTTGGTTGTCAGGCATGAACACAGCCGCGTAATCTACTCTATGCTATGTTACTTATTTGGGCCTTACCACTTCTGTCCTGTGTGGCCTTCTGTTTGGCGTCCGGATACATTTGACTCGCAAAATTAGTCGTCCTCTGTTTTGTCTTGATCCATAGAAGTGTTTACCAGGTATTATGGCAATGTCGCCAACCTTTTCATTCGAGACCCCATATTTCCATGAGTTATCGTTGGACTGGTGCAGATACCGTCTACTATCATGCTGTTATTTGAACTTTTTTTGTCGTTAATGAATTTCCCCGCACATCCGCATCCACTTTCTTTCACTGTGCAAAACGATTTCTAATTCCATCTTTAGCACCCATGCGATCCCCCATCTAACTCGATTTTCATCCACTCAGATACCACATCTGCAGATCCTCTGTTTCATAATCTGGCTTTCCACTGTAACTTGATGCATCTTAATCTGCATATCTTCACTTCAGGTGCCGATAAGTAGTTGAGGCTTCATCATTATTTTTCACAGCATCCGAATTGGACGACAATTCTCGTTTGGATTGCAACCTCCTCGGTATCATTGCATCACTGCTCCCTACCATAATTTGTTCCCGTGCGAGACTGTTTGTTATGCAGCTTTAACAGTTGCAAGCTCTTACCAGCCATATATTTGCTAAAACAGCCATCAACGGGCTCCAGCCAACTTAGGAGCGGGGTTGACACGTTCCGTTCTTTCGTTCATCACGGTACATTCTTTGCGGTTCGCCCAACGTGTTACATTGTCGCGGACACACTGTACGAGTTATTAACGATTGTGTCTCTGAGCTTCGCCAGGTGTTCCGACTTTACTCGTTTATTTAAACAACTAGGTACACACCTGCTCACTCACCTGCTCCTCTAGACTGTCCAACTACTTATCGATTACCTTTCTCCATGTTTGACAGCTTATTTTGGCCGCCTATTGTCCAAAAAGCGATCCTTCCGAATCACCTAATGAACTTGCAAAGGAGAATTAGCACTCACACTGTTTAACATTCCACTCGTCAGTCTCGTTTTTTTACCCCGTGACTATGCGAATATATTTTAGGCACTACAGTGGTCGATCGTTTCCAAGATTCTTCCGACGACACCAAAGGCCCTCGACCAATCTGCAGCGTCAGACACTGACCGGGACGTTCAAAATATCCGTCTATTATGTGAAATCTCCATTGAGATAATTCGTTGTCTAATTACTTCCCTTACACCAATCCGTCCAATCCAATCGATGCGCACACCTTCCACTATCCGATACAAACTCATTTTGTGTCTATTAATAACATTATCACCCCTTGTTCACATGTTACATTTGGCCTCAAAATCAGTGTATTCCTTGTCATTCTTATGAGTTTTTACTGATAATCTTGAGATTGGGTCAAACGTCATTTTACCTGTTGCCTTACTCCATACCCTCAGCTTCCACCACTCGCGCAAGGATATACCGATGCGATTCACAGGGTACCATTTCTTCGGCGGAAATGTCGGAGTATGACCTTCAGCACAATGTGCCAATTTCTCCGCTTGAACTCTCCCCCAATATGATTGCTGGTCCGGCATCACCCCATTGCCAGTCGATCCAATACTCCTCTCCTCAGCTGGCTTCATCTTTCTCGTCCCATTCGCAACACCAGTCGCGACGTTCTTCTTCCAGCCAACACTGTTGTTGCTTGAATCGCGCCGCATGCAAAGTGGTTTTTCGTCAACCACGGATAGATCTTAACCAGATGGTTTTAGTTCCTTTCGATCCGGACTCATGGATAGGACCTGTTCTCAAACCACGCAGTGCCCTTAGTTCAGGAGAGCTGGCTCAGACGAAATCAACTCAAACAGGAGACAGACTCGACTCCTCAGACACCCCTGACCAACACCCTGTTTTCTTTGATCGATGTATAGCCTCGAGGCATCCCTCCGGATCACCTTTAAACAATGAACAAACTCGTAAAGGTAATTCCCGTCTCTAAATAAATACTTAATTATATAGGTAAAAATTCGTCACATCTAGACTCACTCAGACAGCCGTCACACGCCCGGAAAAGCACTGTATGCGCGTTTCATCCTTTCAGGAATCGTCAGCAGTGTGCACTCCATCGGACCCGGGTAGGGCTCGAACCCACAACTCGACTGTAGCCAGTCCGTGGTTGAGATCACTGAGCTACGGGAGACGGCAATGACCATCGTGAATAAGTTACTAGATGTGACATAACGCCACTCACTATCCACTGACTTACACGTTACTGCCGTGCAAAGGACAAGGTAGCCCCCTCACCAAGCGACGAGCTTACCAAACTTAACCTGCCAACTAACCTATGGCATTATACGCAGTTTGGTCTGCGTACTGATTACAGAAGTTTAGTTGGAGGAGTTGAATGGTATAGTTACTTATTCAAGATGGTTGTTGCCGTCCCCCGTAGCTCAGTGGTCTCAACCACGGATTGGCTACAGTCGAGTTGCGGGTTCGATCCCTACCAAGGTCCGATGGAATGCGCACTGCTGACGATTTCCGAAAGGATGAAAGGCGCGTACAGTGCTTTTCCGGGCGTGTGATGACTGTGTGAGTGAGTCTAGATGTGACGAATTTCTACCTATACCACTCAACTCCCCCTACTCACTTTCTGTAAATACTGATTTACTGCATACATGTTCATCAGATATTAGCAAACCTTATGGCCGCTCCACGAAACGTACCTAGAACATCTCCCAATTCAGGCGACGGTTTAACGACCCCTGTCAAGTAAAACAGTATAGAGCCATCAGCTAGTTATGGAACAGCAATGGCCTTTAACAACTCCGATGATATTTCTTGGAAGGATTTTCTATATATGTATATATTGAAAAGACAGTGTAAGGTCTACGAATCACTGACTTCGGTACCGAACCTCTACATTGGTCACACAAATTCCCACACCTAATTAAATGAATTCTGTTCGGCATCAGAAGCGACGAATCATTAGACCAGCATTGAAACATGGCTCCATATCCGAGGGTCCGCGTCACTCGATATAGCAACAAAGTTGTCTATTCAATGGTAGCCTCAATGCTAAACTGTCAAACGAGCATGTCTTTTCCGCTTCTTCCCACTAACATTGATCCACATGCTTCCCGTTACTGGCCATCTACCCAACATGTTCATGTGTTAGTTTAACCAACCTGGACACATCGTGCAAGAGCAACATGGCTGATACGGGAACTGATCTTGCACTACCAATGTATTGTTAGCACGGGACAGATGGACCGAAACACTGGATGTTGGTGCAGAAGTTGATATTATCTACCTCGCCTTCTTCACCACATTCGATCGGTAGGATCATTGCATCTTTCTAGCCAAGCTCCGGATATACAGCATTGGCAATCCCCTCTTAGAGTTGATCAGCAACGTCCTCTTGCACAGGCGCTTGGAAGTGAAAGTATGCGCATCAGTATCAAATCCTGTGCACGTGAAATGCGGTGTGCCACTAGGTACGGTACTGGGGCCAGTCGGTTCCTGATTTTTATTAACGATCCAGTGAGCTTAATCACTTCACGCTGTTTGCTTTAGACCGACGACATCCAAGTTTGGCAGCCGATCAAAACTCCAACAGACCGTATGCAGCTTCAAAACTACATCAACAAGATTCATGAATGGTCATTCCACTATCTTCTTCAGTTCAATGTGTTTAAGTCTCGAGTACTTCATCTACGACGCCAAATGCTTCAAATCTATAAGCTGAGCTTACATGATCTCTAACACTGTTTTCTGAAAAGGATCTCGGCGTACTAACCCAGCAATATCTCGGTTTCTCGAAACCATCTATGCCAACATCAAAAAGGGCATACAAACATTGGGACGGTTAAAGAGAGCTTTCGATCACCTTGACTGAGCTATTTTTTATCATCTGCTTTCAGAAAACACGCCTGCATGTGAACTATGCAATGCAAGCACGGCAGCCATGGTTAAAGCAGGGATCTCATGGTCTTGCAAATTCCCCAACTTCTGGTTTCCAGAAACGTTAAACGACTATGCCACTTAGTTCACGGATAGCGCCTGGATATTTTGAGAGTCTAGTGGACGTTTTGGTAGTTGCATGGTGACCAAATCATGGTGAACCAAATTTTAAGCACCCCTAATCACTCATGCTACGAGCTGCTTTAACCTAGCCGTAACAACAGATTGTGAGGCCACCGCCTCAAACTGTTAGAACAATGTAGCCGGATGGAATGTAGAAGGAATTTCTGCTCGATACGTGTTTACATATACGGAATTAACCATCAGAACCTGTTATCTCAGCCCCTACATAACCTCTGTTCAAAGATCGTGTCGACAGTGCGCTAGTCACGTTGCACCAACTCATTTAACACATCTGAAACATATTCACATTCAGGAAATAAAAGCGTGTCATCGCGCACTCGTTTCTCTGGAAAAACTAAAAACTGCATAAAACCATATATAAACGGTTCATATGGACAAAATTTCGCTCGGCATGTTCCCTATTTCGGTTGTTCTCGGTACATAATCGTTATTACTATTCTTTTGAAAACCCAACGCACCATCCTGTCGGACATGTTTAGCCTAGCTTTTTTTAAATCCGTAATGAATCACTGACTGTCAGTAGTTAGAAACGCTGTAGGTGATGGCCCGCAACAGACATCAGTGGTGACAGTGTTGTTTGACCGCGTTATCTATTAGTCAATGTCTAAACTAATCTAGCCATCGCGACGAAACTGGATATTGACGTGGTGCAATGGTTTACGTGTCTCAGCGCTCCACTGAGCCATGCTGCGAAGTGCTTTTTTGCACCTTCAGAGCCACTCCTACCCGATCGGTCAGTGGTTCAGGTCCAGACAAACACAGTCTCCTGGGTCTCCAGGTTGGGGGTTGCAATGTGGGTAGCTTCTTGTTCCATAAAACGGACTCTCTGTAGCCCAGTGTCACAACCCCGCTGCCTTGCGGTCAGTTTTTGGTTGATAACCCTAATAGTTTTCCTCTTTAGGCCTAGGCAACCTGACTGTGTCCTGCCCACGCAATACAACTTTATGAACTTCTCTCCACACAATTTCTACATGCTCTGGCCGTCGCGGAGGATAATAAACGGCGCCCTACCTGCTGCATCGAGCAGGGTGGATAGATGTAAGGATGCTACTGCTCAAGCCTTACCGTCTTCTTATCTCTCTTGCGCTTCTTCATCTTTATCGTCCCACCCCCACTTCACTTTTATTCCCTGCCGTTTTCATCCCTCAATTCTTCGCCCTCCTTCATCTTGCTTCAGTGGTCGCTTGTTTTCTGGTTGCAGCTCCCACATAATCGCAGTGCGTCGCTATCGTCCCGTTGACAAGTCCATGTTCAACCAAGCGGACAATGTCCGTTCGTCCGTTTCTCTTTGGAAGCCCCGATGTTTGTTAAGACTGGCATGCCTCAACTTGCGCACTTTGTTGCAGATTGGCCGACAGGCAGCGTTTGCCCGAACTAGAGACCCTATCTGTCGACAACTGCTGCTTATCGGAAGCCCGCTTTCAAGATGCGAGTTTCGTGATTACCCTGCAATCCCCCACAAGTGACACTGACAGCGGGTTCTCGTTGCGTTTGTCTAGAGATAACATAGCTTCAACTGCCGCTCAAGCTGGTGTGGACAATGTTATGAGTCCCCGGGCTGAAGCTGCGCCGGTTGACTGGATGCCAGTCAACAGCTGGATGTGCACCGTCAGATTGGCTTGCTCGTTCAGAGCATCGAAATCGCTCGGGGACAAACATTGCCTGTTCGGCATGGCGACGTGCGCGCCCACAAGTTGTGGCGCTGATACGGTGAACGATGAATTCTATGACCAACTGAACGAGCTGCTTCGTCACAGGAATAGTACGGATACTGTGATTCTGTCTGGCGATCTGAAAGCCTAAGCAAGCATTCGTTAAGCTGACGAGGTGACCGCACCATACCATGCCCTCTATTTTCGCATTTTCTACGGGACATTTTGGTGCAAGCCGCTGGTAGTACAGCTTTCGTCTCGGTTTGACGAACTCCATCTACTGAAAGCGTTTTCTCCGGAAGAATTTACAGCGTAGATTGTTACTACCGGATTTGCAAATGTAAGCAATTTTTCGCCTTTATTCAATCGTGAAATTTATCGCAGTTTTAATCATCCACCCAGGATGTTTACCTCCTTCCAAAGACTAGTCTCCCTTGTTTCGATCAAGCTTTCACTCGTCTCATTTCATCAACATGTGATATAGTTACAGAGAAACCAACGTTCCCATTGTGAAACCTTCTCAGGAAAGTAACCGTCAACTTTCGCTGCTCCTACCTTCAGCCGGTGTGATTGATCAACCTGTCTAGCACGATAATTGCCTACACCAGACGCCTTACCCGTGATCGTATGACTCACGCCCGTAGCACGATTGACGACCAAACGCTAGGCAACAGCGACGCGCCAGGTGCTCGCTAGTAGAGCAAGGACCATACGGCCATCACGGCTACAACATCGGTCACCAAAATCTGAGTCTATTGTGCTAAACAAACATGTGTTAAGAGAGTACAAGTAGGCTTGACATGTACAAATTGCATCAAATGGTACCGTCACAGTCTGTAGAACCCAACTAAAGATATAGAATACTTCTGGCTCACTTTGCTTCTCTCCTAAGTGTATGGCGGTTCCACTTGTAAAATGCGTGCTAACATTAACACGGAACTACGACATTCTAGTCCCCGAAATTAAACCTCTTTTAACTGCGAAAACTGCTTCGCTAGAGGTGCCAATACCACAGTCTGCATCTCATCCGTCTCCACTAATTACTACCTGGAAACCGAACAAATGGGCCAGGCATTCGCAGGATCACGCAGTACTAGTAACCTTGGGAACCACGAACCAAGTCGTCATCGCGAACGATAGAAGCATACCTAGCTCCACCGCCCACATTCTCTTTTTCAATGTATCAACAACTGCAACATCGGTCAAACCCACCATTCCGATTGACC